TGAATAAAGATTCCCATATGCTGCATAAGTGTCTCAATCTTCAACTTGTCGGTTTTTCAAACCATTCATCACACCAGTGAAGGTGTTAACCAGTGAAGGTTTTTACCAGTGACGGTGTTTACCAATAACGGTGTTTACCAGTGACGGTGTTTACCAGTGACCATGTTCACCAGTGAAGGTGTTTACCAGTGACGATCTTTACCAGTGACGATCTTTACCAGGTGTTTACAAGTGACGATGTTCACCAGTGACGGTGTTTACCAGTGACGATGTTTACCAGTGACGATGTTTACCCGTGACGGTGTTTACCAGTGACGATGTTTACCACTGACGGGTTTACCAGTGATGGTGTTTACCAGTGAATGTGTTTACCAGTGACGGTGTTTACCCCTGAAGGTGTTTACCAGTGACGATGTTTACCCGTGACGGTGCTTACCAGTGATGGTGTTTACCAGTGAAGGTGTTTACCAGTGACGATGTTTACCAGTGACGATGTTTACCAGTGAAGATGTTTACCAGTGACGATGTTTACCAGTGACGGTGTTTACCAGTGACGATGTTTACCAGTGACGGTGTTTACCAGTGAAGGTGTTTACAAGTGGCGATATTTACCAGTGGCGATGTTTACCAGTGACCAAGTTTACCAGTGAAGATGTTTACCAGTGAAGGTGTTTACCAGTGACGATGTTTACCAGTGAAGGTGTTTACCAGTGACGGTGTTTACCAGTGACCATGTTCACCAGTGAAGGTGTTTACCAGTGACGATCTTTACCAGGTGTTTACAAGTGACGATGTTCACCAGTGACGGTGTTTACCAGTGACGATGTTTACCAGTGACGATGTTTACCAGTGACGGTGTTTACCAGTGACGGGTTTACCAGTGATGGTGTTTACCAGTGACGATGTTTACCAGTGACGGTGTTTACAAGTGGCGATATTTACCAGTGGCAATGTTTACCAGTGAAGGTGTTTACCAGTGACCATGTTTACCAGTGACGATGTTTACCAGTGGCGATGTTTATCAGTGAAAGTGTTTACCTGTGACGATGTTTACCAGTGAAGGTGTTTACCACTGACCATGTTTACCAGTGACGATGTTTACCAGTGGCGATGTTTACCAGTGAAGGTGTTTACCTGTGACCATGTTTACCAGTGACGATGTTTACCAGTGGCGATGTTTACCAGTGGCGATGTTTACCAGTGAAGGTGTTTACCACTGACCATGTTTACCAGTGACGATGTTCCCGTGCGATGTTTACCAGTGAGGGTTTACCTGTGCCATGTTACCATGCGATGTTTACCAGTGGCGATGTTTACCATGCATGTTCCAGTGAAGGTGTTTACCACTGACCATGTTTACCAGTGACGATGTTTACCAGTGGCGATGTTTACCAGTGAAGGTGTTTATCTGTGACCATGTTTACCAGTGACGATGTTTACCAGTGAAGGTGTTTACCAGTGACGATGGTTTACCAATGATGTTTTCAATGAAGGAGTTTACCAGTGATGCTTACCAGTGCTTACTGGTGTAATCAACCAGGTTGTTGGTGTTAGATACATGCAGTTCAACACAGGCACCACAGTCCAGCTGATCAAGGAAGGTGTCTGTTGATAATTCCCGGTGTGTATAAAAGAAAGATGTGTGTAACATACTTCAGTAGTCTGGTTGTAGCATATGTACTTCAGTAGTCTGGTTGTAGCATATGTACTTTAGTACTCAGGTTGTAGCATATGTACTTCAGTACTCTGGTTGTAGCATATGTACTTCAGTAGGTCTGGTTGGTTAGCATATGTACTTCAGTAGTCTGGTTGTAGCATATGTACTTTAGTACTCTGGTTGTAGCATATGTACTTCAGTAGTCTGGTTGTAGCATATGTACTTCAGTAGTCTGGTTGTAGCATATGTACTTCAGTAGTCTGGTTGTAGCATATGTACTTCAGTACTCTGGTTGTAGCATATGTACTTCAGTAGTCTGGTTGTAGCATATGTACTTCAGTAGTCTGGTTGTAGCATATGTACTTTAGTACTCTGGTTGTAGCATATTACTTCAGTAGTCTGGTTGTAGCATATGTACTTCAGTAGTCTGGTTGTAGCATATGTACTTCAGTAGTCTGGTTGTAGCATATGTACTTCAGTACTCTGGTTGTAGCATATGTACTTCAGTAGTCTGGTTGTAGCATATGTACTTCAGTACTCTGGTTGCAGCATATGTACTTTAGTACTCTGGTTGTAGCATATGTACTTCAGTAGTCTGGTTGCAGCATATGTACTTCAGTAGTCTGGTTGTAGCATATGTACTTCAGTACTCTGGTTGCAGCATATGTACTTCAGTACTCTGGTTGTAGCATATGTACTTCAGTACTCTGGTTGCAGCATATGTACTTCAGCAGTCTGGTTGTAGCATATGTACTTCAGTAGTCTGGTTGCAGCATATGTACTTCAGTAGTCTGGTTGTAGCATATGTACTTCAGTAGTCTGGTTGTAGCATATGTACTTCAGTAGTCTGGTTGTAGCATATGTACTTCAGTAGTCTGGTTGTAGCATATGTACTTCAGTAGTCTGGTTGTAGCATATGTACTTCAGTAGTATGGTTGTAGCATATGTACTTCAGTAGTCTAGTTGTAGCATATGTACTTCAGTAGTCTGGTTGTAGCATATGTACTTCAGTAGTCTGGTTGTAGCATATGTACTTCAGTAGTCTGGCTGTAGCATATGTACTTCAGTAGTCTAGTTGTAGCATATGTACTTCAGTAGTCAGGTTGTAGCACATGTAGTGCAGTAGCCAGGTTGTACCATAGTTCAGTAGCCAGTCTTGGTCTCCTTACATTTACAGAGTTATCGCTGAGTGTGCTCATAGCACCCCTGCTCTTCACTGCGGGTATTCTGCACCATCTGTCAAGCTTCGTGCAATAAGTTAGGTGCTTACCTGAATTGATATGAGCCATGAAGGTTCTCTATACATTTTCCTGTTCTGAGATTTTCCCTGCTTTAAAAGAGGCTGGTAGTGTGCAGAAATATTCTAGTGTAGAAAGAACAAGTAATTTATTTTCTCATCAGTGGCTTGGCATCTCTTATTCTAAAGGTATTAGTTATCCAGCTTATTAATTTTCTTACCTTTGTGAGAGCACAACTGCTGTCGTCCTTGAACATAAGACCTAATGCTGTCACTCTTAAAGTCCCTCACATTTATCTATCTACTGAGTGGTTTGAGTTTGTTTTATACTCCGTTCCGGTTTTTTATTGTTTATTTTGTCCAGAGCAAGGTAAGTGAAATTTCTCCTCAACGAAAATCATTGTTTCCTCTGGCCCCTCGGAAGACCTGTTAATATCAGCTTAGAGATTTGTTGTAGCCTCAGTGGATGTCACTCAAATTCCAGTATCTTGCGCAAGGATGTTGCACACGATACTGGAATTTGAGTGACATCCACTGACTTGTGTCTGTCGGATGTGGAGAGAAGGAGAGAGAGAGAGAGAGAGAGAGAGAGAGAGAGAGAGAGAGAGAGAGAGAGAGAGAGAGAGAGAGAGAGAGATTATTATTATTATAATCAAGGGGGAAGCGCTAAACCCGGAGGATTATACAGCGCCTGGGGGGGGGGGGATATGTGGAAGGCAGTCAGGCTTAATTCGGGGAACTGGAGCACAGATCCAATTCCCTAAATCAAGAGCCCCTCACCAACATCAAGGAACCTTCCCTGAGGGGAGAGAGAGAGAGAGAGAGGGAGAGAAAAAGAGAGAGAGATTATTTTGTTAATAAAATTCTCTGCCTGCTTTTCCATATATTCCACTTGCACACATTTAATGTTCAACTACACCAGGATCACACTTGTCGAAGGTTTTGACATTGTATATATACATTTGTAATTTGTCTTCCAGTGCATCAAAGTCCACGTTAATGGTGTAGCAACTGCAAGAGGCAGGATCAGCCTCCTCTACAAAGATGCCGTGGTATGTGCAACTGTTGTGATTCCACGTGTTTTGTTCTCTGATTTTTTAAACTGTTTTTAAAGATTTCAAAATGTGGGACGTCAGTGCTATCGGTCTATTTTTTTTTTTTTTGTAAACTGTCTTGATGCCACATTTGGAGTAGGGCCATATCCACTGGACTGCGTGCAACCAGCAGTAACAGCCTGGTTGATCACGCTCTGATCCTCCAGGCTGCCTGATCTAAGACCTAGCAGCGGGGGCACTGACCCCCCGGAAACGTCCTTCAGGTATTTTTCAGAGTTTGCAGGATTTTTCTACCCTAGAAAAAGGGCCTGACGTACTGTACTTTCTGACCCCTGGTCAACTATTCTGTTGGTGTTAGCGGCCCACAAACAACAGCCTTCACAACCGTTCTGATCAGGCTAACTGAAAAATATCTGCCTTCAGGTGTGTGAGTAAATTTTAATGGTGCGGCTTTGCCTTGACAATATCCAGCCTCGGGTGTGCAAGCAGAGTTTAGTATAGTTGAATAAGATGTTTCTCTACTAAGGAGGGAGTTCCTGCATGTTGGTGAGTGGCTCTTGATTCAAGAAGTTGTACTCACCTTCTCTTCCCTCGGATCAAACTTCCTTAACCCTCCCCTCCCCCCAACACTTTTTCCATGGAGTTGTGCATAACCTCCTACGTGTTTAGTGCTTCCCCATGAAATAAAATTATAATACCCGAATCTCCCATTTAAATTCATTGTATTACAACTACGAATTTAGCGCTTCCCATAAAATAAACAATGTGTAGTTCTGGGGATTAGGTTCTCTCAGGGCCTGGTCTCAGACCAAGCCTCCTAAGTTGGACTGGAAATATTACAGGCTTATGAACTATTAAGAAGCACATAACGTAAAGGTACTTGTGTACTGAATGTAAGTAGAAGGTTCTAGTATTTAAGTCATCTTAGGTGTCCATTAAGCAGAAAGAAATGATCAGCAAACTTGCCAGAGTGCAAGACAATCTAAGATCCTGTTTCACAGTAATATGACAGTAGTACCTCCTTAAATAATAATAATAACCAGTGACTTACTTTTTGCGATATTCTCCTTGATGGGTTCGTAGTCTCTGATAACTTCCAGAGCCTTGTTAGTGTCTGCGTAAGGGTAGAGGATCTCGTTGAGGCGAGGATCACGCTGCTCCTCGTTGAGGAACTTGACCAGCTGCTCGACAGACATACCTCGCAACTTGGTCTTCCTGTTACCGCTGTACGGCTGCTCGGTCCTGCAAACCATCAACACGGTGCAGAATTTGCATTGTGTGTATCTTTGATTATATGTTCTTGGTATTGCAATTGTAATTTCTCAGAGAGACTAGTAAACTTAGTATTGACGTTCTTAAACCGGGAACTAGAAAATATTGACGTTATCAGAGAGACCGGTAACTAGAGGCATCACCACTGCCTGGAGAACACACCAAGAACAGTACTGCCTCGAGAACACACCAAGAACAGTACTGCCTGGAGAACACACCAACAACAGTACTGCCTAGAGAACACACCAAGAACAGTACTGCCTAGAGAACACACCAAGAACAGTACTGCCTGGAGAACACACCAGCAACAGTACTGCCTGGAGAACACACTAACAACCGTACTGCCTGGAGAAAACACCAACAATAGTACTGCCTGGAGAACACACCAACAACAGTACCGCCTGGAGAACACACCAACAACAGTACTCCCTGGAGAACACACCAACAACAATACTCCCTGGAGAACACACCAACAACAATACTCCCTGGAGAACACACCAACAACAGTACTGCATGGAGAACACACCAAAAACAGTACTGCCTGGAGAACACACCAACAACAGTACTGCCACTTATGCAGCATATGGGAATCTTTATTCAGGAAACGTTTCGCCACACAGTGGCTTCATCAGTCCAATACAAAGAGGAAGGCGTAAGGAGAGGAGGAGAATGAGGTAATCAGTCCCTCAACCTGGAGTCGATGTGTTCAGTCCATCAATCTTGTAGAATGTACAGCATAGGGCCGTAGACGTGGCTTATATACTGTAATGAGGTGACGTGAAGCAGGTGGAGGCGGGGTCATAGTGGTAACATCCACTAGTCGAAGTAGGTCTTCGTCCAAAGGTTGAACGAGTGTTGAAGAATTCTTTGTAACAAGATCCCATGATGCTGCAGTGTCTGACAGTTGTGATGAATGGTTTGAAAAACCGACAAGTTGAAGATTGAGACACTTATGCAGCATATGGACTAGTGGATGTTACCACTATGACCCCGCCTCCACCTGCTTCACGTCACCTCATTACAGTATATAAGCCACGTCTACGGCCCTATGCTGTACATTCTACAAGATTGATGGACCCGAACACATCGACTCCAGGTTGAGGGACTGATTACCTCATTCTCCTCCTCTCCTTACGCCTTCCTCTTTGTATTGGACTGATGAAGCCACTGTGTGGCGAAACGTTTCCTGAATAAAGATTCCCATATGCTGCATAAGTGTCTCAATCTTCGACTTGTCGGTTTTTCAAACCATTCATCACAACTGTCAGACACTGCAGCATCATGGGATTTTTGTTACAAAGAAATTCTTCAACACTCGTTCAACCTTTGGACGAAGACCTACTTCGATAGTGGATGTTACCACTATGACCCCGCCTCCCCCACCTGCTTCACGTCACCTCATTACAGTATATAAGCCACGTCCCACGGCCTTTGCTGTACATTTTTACAAGATTGAGGACTGAACACAATCGACTCCAGGTTGAGGGACTGATTACTCATTCTCCTCCTCTCCTTTACGCCTTCCTCTTTGTTTGGACTGATGAAGCCACTGTGTGGCGAAAGTTTCCTGAATAAAGATTCCCCATAGCTGCAAAAAGTGTCTCAATCTTAACTTGTCGGGTTTTTTAAACCATTCAACACAACTGTCAGACACTGCAGCATCATGGGGTCTTGTTACAAAAAAATTCTTCAACACTCGTTCAACCTTTGGACGAAGACCTACTTCGAATAGTGGATTGTTACCACTATGACCCCACCTCCACCTGCTTCACGTCACCTCATTACAGTATATAAGCCACGTCTACGGCCCTATGCTGTACATTCTACAAGATTGATGGACTGAACACATCGACTCCAGGTTGAGGGACTGATTACCTCATTCTCCTCCTCTCCTTACGCCTTCCTCTTTGTATTGGACTGATGAAGCCACTGTGTGGCGAAACGTTTCCTGAATAAAGATTCCCATATGCTGCATAAGTGTCTCAATCTTCAACTTGTCGGTTTTTCAAACCATTCATCACAACTGTCAGACACTGCAGCATCATGGGATCTTGTTACAAAGAATTCTTCAACACTCGTTCAACCTTTGGACGAAGACCTACTTCGAATAGTGGATGTTACCACTATGACCCCGCCTCCACCTGCTTCACGTCACCTCATTACAGTATATAAGCCACGTCTACGGCCCTATGCTGTACATTCTACAAGATTGATGGACTGAACACATCGACTCCAGGTTGAGGACGATTACCTCATTCTCCTCCTCTCCTTACGCCTTCCTCTTTGTATTGGACTGATGAAGCCACTGTGTGGCGAAACGTTTCCTGAATAAAGATTCCCATATGCTGCATAAGTGTCTCAATCTTCAACTTGTCGGTTTTTCAAACCATTCATCACAACTGTCAGACACTGCAGCATCATGGGATCTTGTTACAAAGAATTCTTCAACACTCGTTCAACCTTTGGACGAAGACCTACTTCGACTAGTGGATGTTACCACTATGACCCCGCCTCCACCTGCTTCACGTCACCTCATTACAGTATATAAGCCACGTCTACGGCCCTATGCTGTACATTCTACAAGATTGATGGACTGAACACATCGACTCCAGTTGAGGGACTGATTACCTCATTCTCCTCCTCTCCTTACGCCTTCCTCTTTGTATTGACTGATGAAGCCACTGTGTGGCGAAACGTTTCCTGAATAAAGATTCCCATATGCTGCATAAGTGTCTCAATCTTCAACTTGTCGGTTTTTCAAACCATTCATCACAACTACTGCCAGACACGCAGACACAGTATCCCTTTGGTACAAAAAATCTTCAACACACGTTCAAAACCTAGACGAAACCAACAACGATACTGTGGAGTACCACAATGACCCCGGCCTCCACCTGCTTCCACGTCACCAACATTACAGTAAAAAGCCACGTCCTAAACGGCCCCTATGCTAGTACATCTACAACAGATTGAGAACTGAACACAATCGACTGTCCAGTTGACGGACTGATACCATCATCTCCTCCTCTCCATACGCCCTTCCTCTATAGTATTGGACTGATGAACCCACTGTGTGGCGAAAACGTTTCCTGAATAACGATTCCCATACTGCCTAAGAAGTCTCAAACTTCAACTGTGGTTTTTCAACCATTCATCACAACTGGCAGAACACGCAAGCATCATTGGCTTGAATACAAAGAATTCTTCAACACTACGTTCAACAACTTTGGACGAAACCCTACTTCGACTAGTGGAATGTTACCACTATGACCCCGCTCCACCTGCTTCACGTCACCTCATTACGTATAAAGCCAAGTCTACGGCCCTATGCTGTACATTCTACAAGATTGATGGACTGAACACAATCGACTCCAGGTTGAGGGACTGATTACCTCATTCTCCTCCTCTCCTTACGCCTTCCTCTTTGTATGGACTGATGAAGCCACGTTGGGCGAAACGTTTCCTGAAAAGATTCCCATATGCTGCATAAGTGTCTCAATCTTCAACTTGTCGGTTTTTCAAACCATTCATCACAACTGTCAGACACTGCAGCATCATGGGAAATCATGTCACAACAATTCAGATCACTCCGTTCAAACTTGGACAAGACTACTTCGACTAGTGGATGTTACCACTATGACCCCGCCTCCACCTGCTTCACGTCACCTCATTACAGTATATAAGCCACGTCTACGGCCCTATGCTGTACATTCTACAAGATTGATGGACTGAACACATCGACTCCAGGTTGAGGGACTGATTACCTCATTCTCCTCCTCTCCTTACGCCTTCCTCTTTGTATTGGACTGATGAAGCCACTGTGTGGCGAAACGTTTCCTGAATAAAGATTCCCATATGCTGCATAAGTGTCTCAATCTTCAACTTGTCGGTTTTTCAAACCATTCATCACAACAGTACTGCCGGGAGAACACACCAACAACAGTACTGCCTGGAGAACACACCAACAACAGTACTGCCTAGAGAACACAACAATAGTACTGCCTAGAGAACACACCAACAACAGTACTGCCTGGAGAACACACCAACAGTACTCCCTGGAGAACACACAAACAGTACTCCCTGGATAACACACCAAGAACAATAGTGCCTGGAGAACACACCAACAGTACTGCCTGGAGAACACACCAACAACAGTACTGCCTGGAGAACACCAACAACAGTACTGCCTGGAGAACACACCAACGACAGTACTGCCTGGAGAACAACAGTACTGCCTGGAGAACAACAACAGTACTGCCTGGAGAACACCGACAACAGTACTGCCTGGAGAACAACAATAGTACTGCCTGGAGAACACACCAACAACAGTACTGCCTGGAGAAGAACAACAGTACTGCCAGGAGAACAACAACAGTACTGCCTGGAGAAGAACAACAGTACTGCCTGGAGAATACCAACAGTACTGCCTGGAGAACACACCAACAACAGTACTGCTTGAGAATACCAACAACAGTACTGCCTGGAGAACACACCAACAACAGTACTGCCTGGAGAACACCAACAACAGTACTGCCTGGAGAACAACAACAGTACTGCCTGGAGAACACCAACAACAGTACTACCTGGAGAACACACCAACAACAGTACTGCCTGGAGAACACCAACAACAGTACTGCCTGGAGAACAACAACAGTACTGCCTGGAGAACAACAACAGTACTGCCTGCAGAACACACCAACAACAGTACTGCCTGGAGGACAACAGTACTGCCTGGAGAACAACAACAGTACTGCCTGGAGAACACACCAACAGTACTGCCTGGAGAACACACCAACAACAGTACTGTCTGGAGAACACACCAACAACAGTACTGCCTGGAGAACAACAGTACTGCCTGGAGAACACCAATAACAGTACTGCCTGGAGAACACCAACAACAGTACTGCCTGGAGAACACCAACAACAGTACTGCCTGGAGAACAACAACAGTACTGCCTGGAAAACACACCAACAACAGTACTGCCTGGAGAACAAC